TGCAGTAGATCGTCAGAACAGGAAACGGACGTGGCACAGACGAATAGTTACGAGAAGACACGACCGATAAAAGATGTTAAATCCGCACTGCCAAGACCTACGGTGGTCAAGAACCGATATACCGAGTTCAGAGAGAGATAAAAGTGAGCGTTCGGCAAGTGGGACCGCCCACAGGAGAAGCCCAGAAAGGGACATGACACAAAGATCGGCGTGCACCTTCCCACAAAGAAAAGGGACACCGCACGAGAACTTGGCACACCATTGAGACAACACCTGGATGATGTCTGTGCCGGCACTCACTTGGACAAAATACCATTGAAAGGACGGGACGCAGCCAGCCCCCAAAGACCAGATAAAACCTCCCTAACCGGGAATCGCAAATGACGGCCCCAACCTTAAGGCGTTTCAATGTGAAACATGGAGTCATTGAACTTGAGCGTGTATGCGAGCTCAGAGGATCAATCAAAAAGAGCTGAACATTTAAGAGAGGCTAAGTGCCCAATCCTGCCACCAGAAGGGAAGACAGAGGCAAGCAAACGTCATGTCTTTCTCAGACAAAGACTTAGAACGGATATATTGCCCTACCACCATGATGCCCTAGTCTCACTCTCCGAGTCAAGCGGATTCTGATTGACCCAGCGGTAGTCTATGTGAAATCATGTACTACGAAACATTTAAACCAACTGAAGCTACAAGACAAAGACTTGGCACTGTTTATCACCCTAATTGGATTCAACTTTATGCCAGAATGGCCCGTCGGCAAAATAATTCTCCAGTTAGTAGAGCCGTGACGAAACAAGTGGAGTTCTGGGTATTGAAGGTCCCCTCCACTTACAACATCATCTTGGGCAGAATGGCTGCATGCCATGCGTTCGGTGGCGTAATCCTACCACCAGTAATGCGGTTCCCAACGACACCGGTAAATTGAAGAAGTCTATGGAGATCAGATCATGTCAAAGCATGGTTTCGCCCGGTGACTGGCAGCCGCCGCTGCCAAAGGATACGTTCATTCGGTGGAAGAACCTGAAAGCAATGAAACTATTCCCAGATGTCGGTAAAGAGGTTGATCAGAAAGCAGTGGAGACTTGGTGGAGGTAAAATAGTGAAAAGAACCCGGATAAGTTCTTCTTGGCTCGGTTCGTTCGCTTGTCCAGCACTAAAGAGATTAGAGGTCTTGGAATTCTTGACCTCTAAATTCGAAGTGTTCGCCTGGACACCCTACGACATGCCAGGCATTGATCCAAACTTCATCAGTCACCAACTAATGTCCACCCATCCGCCAGACAATCATCCAACACCAGATCGGCACTCCACCATGCCGAACTAGTGGCGGAAGAAGTAGGTACTCCCTGGAGGCAAGAGCAATTAGAGAGGTGACTACCCGAATGATCTCCAGAACACGGTCGTAGTGCCAAGAAGAATGGCAAATGGCGTGTCTGCGTCGACTACAAAACAGCCACACAAGGCGTGCCCAAACAGCTTTCCTCTACCACACGAAGATCACTGGTGGACTAACGGCGGGCACAACCGAGTAGCTTCTGGATGCATACAGCAGGCTACACCGAAATCTGCGCTCATGCATGAGCTCAGAATCAGAGAACGGAATCTCTTCTACAAGCTCGCAAGAGCGGACTGACTGTTACAAGTCATGCCCTTTTGGCCTAAAGAACGCAGGGGCAACATTCCAACGGATGGGCCACCAGATGTATTGAACCATTGTTAGGCAGAACAATGGAGGCTACATCGATGAATGGTAGTCAAAAGCAAAGATGAGAATGACCATCTCAAAGAGTTAGGAGAGATGTTTGAAATCTTGAAGAACACAAGTTGCGGCTCAACGCATCCAAGTGTGCACTTGGAGTAGGATCTGGCAAATTCTTGGGCTTCCTGGTGACAACCGAGGTATAGAAGCAGACCCCTCCCAGATAAAGCAATCCAAGATTTGGAGAGACCAAACTCTGTGAAAGAAGTGCAGCATCTCACCGGCATGGCAGCTGCACTCAACCGGTTTCATAAGCAGGTCGTCAGATAGAACTACGACCATTCTTTCAGCTCTAAAGGCCAAGTTGAGTGGGATGAAGAATGCGACCAAGCTCTGGAAAGCTTAAAGGAATATATGTCTTCTCCACCACTGCTTGTTACCCAGTACCTGTGAGGAACTCTTCTTGTACTTGGCAGTCTCTCAACATGCAGTTAGCGCAGTGTTGGTTCGAGCAGAGGGAAATCCAACACTTGCCCATCTATTATGTCAGCAAGATATTGCTGGGAGCCGAAAACAAGGTATTTGCCACTGGAAAAACTGGCATTAGCCTTGATGATGGCCTCCAGAAAATTGGCACATCACTTTCACGCCCACACCGTATCGTCCTCACAGCTTTCCCACTAAAAGCTTTGTTTGAGAGGGCGAACTTTTCTGGGCGAATTTTGAAGTGGGCAGTAGAGTTTGGACAATTCGACATCAAGTTCCAACCCAGGACCACAAAATAAAAGCCCAATCTTTGGCAGACTTCATCGCAGAATTTACTCCTGGAAGTCATCATATCTGCCCAATCGACCTAACTGACACCACCGAATTAGGGATGGAAGTTGGCGCCGGAATAGCACAACCCCTAGTAGAAGGTACTCAGTAGACTCCAAGGCAAACAAGACTAAAGACACAAGACAGAAGCTACACCAACCAAGGCTCTCCAACAAAAAAGACTTGGTACAATCAGATAGTAAGGGGCAACAGCAAGCATGGGCCTTGAAGAAAGCACCAGCAACATTCTTGACCCGACATCATCTGACCCCTCCACTTGCTGGAAGTTGTTCATTGGTGAGATGTGGAAGTTCTTTGTGGATGGAGCATCCACCGGCATGTGCAGGACTCGTTATGTCCTCATCTCGCCAGACGGCCTGGTTGTAGAACAAGCATCAACCTTGGCTTCCTAGCACAAACAATGAAGCGGAGTACGAAGTGCTCTTGCAGGACTCAAAATCAGCAATACTACATGAAGGCCACCGAACTAATGTCTACAGCGACTCACAGCTTGTGGCAAATCAAATTTCTGGCGACTATGAAGAAATGATATAGGATGGCCAAGTACCAGAGTTGGTCAGAAATAGAGTCAAGAAATTTGAGTGTAGTAAGGAGTAGAACAAATTGGCAGGGAGAAAACAGCAGAGCAGACGAACTAGCAGGCTTCGCCAATGGCAGATTCCTCCCTACCTCATGCACTACTGATCGACTACCTACCTAGACCAAGCATAGAAGACCCGAAGCAGAAGAGGTATGTTGCGCAGAAACTAGGCCACTCTTGGATGGATCCCATCATCCTGTTTCTTAAAAGACAGCATCCTACCGAGAAGAGAAAAAAGAAGCCAACAGAATAAGAGCGAAATCGCAGCGATTTTAGCTTTCCCTATCCTTAGCATTATACAAGAAGTCATTCTCAGGACCCTACCTAAAGTGTGTACATCCCAACAAAGTCGAAGCATTCTTGTACGAGATACACGAAGGGGTGTGCGGAAGCCATCAAGGAGGAAGTTATGGCCCAAGAGTTGAAAAGTTACTCCGGCCCAAAAGAGATAAAGTTACTCCGGCCCAAGAATTGTAAAGTTACTCCGGCCCAAGAATTGTAAAGTTACTCCGGTCCGGAAGCAATTTGGAGTTAGGCCGATCTCGGTCGTAGTCCAGTCATGATATTTTGTAGTTAGAACGGTCAAAACCTTGCTACTCGGTAGCTCGGTCTAAACACACCATGGGTTGAACAGAAGAGAACCGAGATAGGAAAGAGTAAAAGGAAGAACCAAACTAAGGATAGTTCGGCCTACTCTGTGGCACGGCATAGCCAGTTTTATCTCGGTCGTATGGTAGTTCGGCCATGGTAAAAACCATCCCACTTGGTTTAAGCAGTGGGGGGGGTGTTAAAGGATAAGCATTATCCTACAGGAGTATGAATCCTAGAGGGACTCTACATGGAGGAGTAAAAGTCCTACTAGGATTGTGCCACACAAAAAACCTATAAAAGCTCACAAACATCACCTTGGGAGAGGTAACACACAACTTTCCTTTCTGAATACATAGAGCTTTGTCTATTTGTCAAGTTTGCTGACTTAGGCATCGGAGGGGTTTCCGGCAGACACCCGCCGGCTAGCTCACGTTTGTGTTTTCAGGTGACAAAGCGACGTCGTACGGAGGAGCACAGACTTAGTCAACAGGATTATACGAGAAGAATTATTTCTTTCCCGTACACTAACAAAATATATATATATATATATATAGACATAGATGAACCCATGTCCTCCAAATGTCCAAAGCTTGTCCTGGTCTAATAAAATATAAATAATAGGAACTATGGTTTCAGAGTTCTCTCCATAGTCATTGTGCAATAGTTCTAGTTAATACTCAAACAAGAAATCATACTAAAATAGTCCCCCAAAAAATCCAAGGAGAATATACAGAACTAGCTACCCACACCAGGTATCATAGGAAAATGTCAAAGAGAAATGGCCTTTTCAATAGATAAATATAAATATATATAATAACAACAGAACCATAAACAGCAGAAATTAGGGTTATAATTTGGTAAATACTGGTGTTTTTATATTTTAATTTTTATTATATTAGCATCTAGTTCTAATTAATTGTTGCTGTCTCAACAAGTCAGTGATTTGTCACACCAAACTACCAAATTGTAACATAATGGTGTCTCCCAATAGTCCCCCAATAATTTTTTTTAATATATATATATATATTATAAGAACAATAATCTTTATTATAAGAAATTAAATTGCAAGACCTTTATTTATTTATTTATTTAGCCTCATTACACTTAAAATAAATATGGTTCGTACCACTGACAACTTTTCATATAGAACTCAAATCTCACTTAAAATAAATATGGTTCGTACCACTCAACTTTGCTTATTTGTTTATTTTATTTACTTAACTTGTTCACATATTTAATTGCTTAATTATTTAATTTTCTTATTTATCTTAAGATTTTGGTTGTCTTTCATTTATAGGAGACAAAAAAGAACAATAGGGTTCCTGCTAGTCGGTCACAAGTGTGGATGGCCGCATACATGAAAGATGCGACGTCAAATAGTGATTCAGTTAATGAGGTTATGGTATGTGATACTACTTTATCTTTGGACTTTTAATATGATTTATATTTATATTGGAGGCTAATTATTGAATTCAAACTTGAAGACTCAAATGAATGAGTTAGCAGAGCACATGGAGGGATCTTCTACTGACCCTGCAGCATTACAGGAGCAAATCTTCACACAAGTTATGGGCCCAGAGCGACCTGGTCGTGTTCGGACGTTTGGATTGGGACCGTCACCCACTGATGTTTTTGGAGGTGGATATAGGCGGTCACAAGAGCAGAATCGTCTCTTCCAAACTCAAGTTCAAGAACAAGTTCAAGAGCAACTTCAACGGTATCAAATGCAGTTTGAGTCGAAGATGAATGAAGTAATGGAGAAACAAATTCAGGCTATACGCACAGATTTTCAGTCACGAATTCAATTTTTGGAATCTCAATTGCAAGCTGCAGGCGTGCCCGTTGATCCAGTTGTTGCACCATCAAACTCATTACATAGGCAGCAGGTATTTTAATTATTCTTACTAGTTATTACTTTAAATTGCCTAGAGCTAATATAAAACTTAAGCTTCTTATTGAATGATAGGTTGTGGATTCAGCTCTAGTAGTTCTAGTTCAGATGAGACTCAGAACACACTCAAGATGAAAGTCATACCCGATCCACCGGCATCATGGCATCCACCAGGCAGTCTTCCTACCACATCACGTAGCGGTAGTACATCACATGGCTCTGTTTCAGCTGGTATGTATCAACTTTGCTTGATATTTTCTTATGGTGTTTTTGAGTTAGATTTGTAGTCCTATCTATCATACATAATGCATGGTTATTTTTAAAAAAATTGAGTTTGGATAATTAAAAGCATAATGTGTGGTATAGAAGCAAGGATAGCAGAATTTTAACACCCCATGGTATGATATGTTGAAATTTATTGAAATTAAAAGCCTAATTCAGTTATTCAACTGAAATTTAGATAATGTAAACAAATGGCCAATCAGCAATTCACAGACAACAAATTGAAAATGATGAATACAGAACAAAATACCAGATAAAAAGAACAGAATCTCCAGCTACAAGTTTCTTGGCACTAACAAAGATTTCCTTTGGAAAACTTTAAAAATTCTTTTTGTGAGGGTTCCGTTGAATAACTTACGTTGAATTTTACTTTTGGATAAACAGTGCATTATAATAAATGTGGTTGTCGCTACATATTAAATTCCGACAGCATATTGACAGGTGCTTGACGTGGAACAAGTTGTGATTGGTAGTTGTTTTAGTTTTCCATACAATCAATAAATCATGCATTGCATGATGTTTTATCCGTTGTGCTATTGTTCTGTTATGCGCTTTTCATTACTTCATATTAATTAATGCCCCCACTGGCTTATCCAGTGAGTAACTATATCTTACTTCGTAATGGGTTAATTATTCTCCATCACCCATTGTCTTTTAATGTTTATGGGGCCAAATTTGAAGGTTGACTTTTCCGTTTCTAGCCTCCATGAGGTTGAGATTCTTGTGACATAAGTTAACTGAATCTCTTTTATGCTATTAATAACATGATATGGAACAATGGATGTCTTGATAGTTTTTTTCCCTCTCTGGAAAATTGAAATGAGCATGTGGAGTTATTTCGGGAGTAATCTCTATGGAGTTACTATTTGTACCCCAATGCTTCAACTTGTTGAGGTCTTACCAGCTGTTAGTCATGTTTCTAGTTTGTATTCTTATTTTTTTTTAAAAATTCTTTGTATTGTTTTTTCTTTTTCCTGCAATGCCATTTTCCAACCCAGAGGCTAGTATAGATGCCAGTTGTGAAACTAAGGCCCAGTGGCGCCCCAGATGCTATGAAATCAGAGGGGAATGATTCACTTGACACTTTTATCAAACAGGCAATAGGGAAAGCGCCTCCCCTTTCTTTCTCAAGGACAGGAGACAACCCAGTATGTTTCATAGAGCAGGAATCACTCCCAGTATGTTTCCTTCTGGCAAAAGCTACATGGACAATGTTAAAACATGATTTTTGGATATGTTATTTTGTGGGTAATGGTGATTGGATATTAATTGAATGAGAAACTGAATTAATGCTTTATTTGTTATTTGAATGGGAGTTATTATTTTATCTGTTAGTTTTATTACAGGTATTTGAATGGGAGTTAATATTTTGTATGTTAGTTTTATTACAGGTATTTTTTTATTAATTGAATGAGAAACCAAATTCAATATTTTCTTACAGGTATTCTTTTTAATTTAATCAAATAAAATTAGCACAATCTCACCAAAAAAAAAAAAAAGAAGATATGACGGCGTTTCTACAAACGCCTCCTAAACCCTCAATAGTAACGGTCATATTTTTTACATAGATACAACGGCGTTTCAAAAATGCCGCTAAATATCGTTGATGACGTCAGTGTGTGTATAGTGGGACATTTTGCGACGTTTTTTAAAACGCCTCCTATACTAATATCACGACGTTTTTAAAATGTCGCGAAGATACAGCGACGGCCGCAGCTTCGACGTTTGGTACTAAACGCCACAAAATGAATTAACGGCGTTTTTGATAGATATCGCGGCGTTTTTAAAACGCCACTAAAAGCCCGATTTCCAGCAGTGTAATCAACTTGTTCAGCTTGGTTTTTCAGGATTTATTTTTTAGAAAATTAAATTTTTTTGTTTTTCGTAATTTTTTTTCACTGAACTTTTAAAATATTTTTAGCAATTTTTTAGATACACCTAACATAAATATACTTTAAAAGCATAACATTGGTAAAAAAAAAAAGAAAAGAACTTTAAGAAATTCACTGAATACTAAAAATACCAAAAAAAAAAAAAACTCAGTATATTTTTGTATTCTTGCGTATTTATTGATTTTTCACAAATATTTTACTTCTTAGATACATCTAAGTAAAAAGTAAAACAAAAAATACTTAAAATTTTTAAAGTATTCACTAAAAACAAAAATACACGAAAAATAAAAAACTTTATTTCTAAAAAATTAAATCTAAAAAATTGAAATCAAACACAATGAATCCAATTAAGATTTAAACCCCAAGAGATTAGCAGGAAACCTAAGGAAAAATGACTTTGTTCACACTTTTAAATTGTGAGTAAAACATTGCTTTTTATCAATCTATAATAGAGCTTTATGCACCCCCACCCCACTACGTAAACCAACTCAAGGTCTATATCACTCGGTTAACCTCTACACTGTGTTTGCATCATATATTTTTTGGTAGATATTTAAATAGTAATTTGAAAAAATATGAGAAAAATATAAAGAAATATAAATTAAATTTTTGTAACATTTCCCTTTCCTTTTCCAAATATATATTCAAATCCATGATTAAGATAAATTTGGCAAATGAAAATATTGTGAGGAACGTTTTGATCTGAATGACTAGTAAATTGATGAGATGGTAACATTCTATAAAAGATTATATAGGATCTGGAGAATTTCTACTTTACAAGATATCAGGAAAATAAATTTTTGTAACTTTTCCCTTTCCTTTTCCAACTATATATTCAAATCCATGATTAAGATAAATTTGGCAAATGAAAATATTGTAAGGAACGTTTTGATCTGAATGACTAGTAAATTGATGAGATGGTAACATTCTATAAAAGATTATATAGGATCTGGAGAATTTCTACTTTACAAGATATCAGGAAAAAATACTTTCCATTTATGAATTTTATTTTCATAATTTTTTTAAATATATATATATCATTAATAAAAAGTTATATTAATTCGATGATAGTAGACACCTAATTTTATCATATTTTTCTTCAAAAATCATGCATATAATCTTTTTCTTTTTTTTTTGAAAAATATATATGATGAACTCATGTGACTTTTATTATTAGATTAAATTAAATTTTTTTTTTATAAATAAAAATGAACAATTTAAATTATCTAAAGGACTCGTAATAACTATAGCGAGTAGAATAGAGTTTTGAATTGTTTCTTAGCTGAAAGGGAAATTTTTTGGGGGGACTTATGTGTAGGTCTTATTAAATGGATTTATTGTCTAATAAGTCCTTTGATAATTAATGACATTTTTCATCATACATTATTAAAAAAGTTACTAATTGTTAATTTTTTACGACAGTTTAAAAATCGTCACAGAAAATGTCACTAATTATAAGTTTTAGCGACAATTTAAAAAATCGTCACAAAAAAATGTCACTAATTTTTAACTTTCAGGGACAGTTTAAAAAATTCATCACAAAAAAATGTCATTAATTGTAAATTTTAGCGACAATTTATAAAAATTATGACAAAAAGTCACTAATTGTCAATTTTTAGCGATGATTGTGCTATAACGTATTTTCAATAAGACTTGATGGAAATTAAGTTCTACTATTAGGACCTATTGGTAGTTTATCTATTTTTTTAAGGTCCCTCATATTAAGATTTCATAACATAAAATACATGAAATATTTTCATAGTGATTGAGATCTCTCAAATTTTTACAGAAAAATTTCGAAGCAGAGAATTTTGATCCAAAGACATTTCAAAACATATAGAAATTCGTCTAAAGTTTCTTGGTGTTTTGAAATTTCTTTGTGTTTTCAAATTTTCTCTGTATTTTTAAATTTCTTAGGTTTGAAATTTCCCGAGTGTAGATACCCAATTTTTGACAGCCCATAAGACTTGGGCGTTACTGATGGTTTACTTGGTGATAAAAGGTGTGCAGGGCAAAGATCCAGTTTCTTCGGCAAGGAGAGAGACAAGTCTCAAATTCACACCCCGTTTTGGACCAAAGCTATTTTGGATGGTTTTTAGACCTTAAAACCCTATCTTTCAAAACTTTTTTTTAAAAATAAAGTTTCTGCGTTGTTCCGTGGCTCGCATTTTGTCAAACGTTGCGCTTTTCGGTAAACCGAGCAGGGACGAAGTGGAAATGAATGAAAGAGAGATGAAATCTTTGAAAAATCTTTCAAAACACCTTACTTAGGGGTTTGAAGTTGAAGAAAGGAGGGGAAGAGAGAAGAAACCAAGTTGGAGGAGAAGACAGGCATGAATCTGGGTAGAAGGGAGTCGAGCAGTCCTCGCTGAATCGGGCTTATTAATCTGCATACTTGGATTTTAGCTATGGGGTCACCACCGTCGGAAAGCTCACTTCTGGGGCTTCATTTTTCACTCAAGAATCTCTTAAAGCCAAGTCCGGGTGGGGGAGATATGATCAGTTGAAGTTGGGCATCATCCCGGTTGGATCGAATCTGCGCGGCTTCACCAAAAAGGGCATAACTTTTTGCACAGGAGGAATTTTAATGCAAAGTTTGCACCATTGGAAAGCTAACTTCCCGGGCTTCAATCTAGACACCCACCGGCCACTTTTTGACCTTGGAATCATCTGTCGGCAATCTATTTATCCGACCGGAAATTTATTGTGCCGACCGACCATTTTTGCTGGCCGACGACCTTCCGGAGTATTCTACAGATTGAGTGGATGCCAGCTGTGCCAGCTGGAGGGCACAGACTGGATCCTCCATACACGTGTATGG